AGAGAGAGAGGAGGTGGGGTGAGAAAGATCAAAGCACATGGGTGTCTGTGCATTACACAGATGTTGTGTGTGTGCTGTGTGTGGAAACCATGCACACGTTAAAGAGTCTAGAAGTAGGTTTGGGTGTTTACCAGAGATGTAAAGGAGGTAACTCTAGGGTGTTTACCCGCTTTTCTCAAGGTTGAAAGTGTGTACACAGCAGGACGTGCACATGACGAGTTTTATGTATACCCCCCACCATCCCTCCCCCTCCACCCCACCCTACACCCGCCTCCTTTGTTATTGTGTTCCCCTTTTATATTTATAAGTTTCGTTCCCTCCGCCTGCCTTGTTGTTTCTTTCATCGCTCATGTCTTTTCATTTGTCTGTCTGTGTTATTCACCTCTGTTCGTGGCTGCAGGCAACGCTTGAGTGTGTTGCAGATAGTCGTTGCAGATATGTGGACGAAATGAGAGAACCAGCAAGAGGTGACAAAACATCTAGGATGAGGCTCGCTCGCAGCCGCTACTCTACGCAGCAAGATAACGGACAAAGGGAAGCCCGTTTTAGTAAAAACAAATTATTTTTCTCTCTTAATTTCAAATCTTGTTATAGTCGGAATTGTCTAATATCTAAGACGGCCACCCCTAGGGGAGGAAATCTTGCACATTGCCACTGTGGAGTCACATAGAGAAAACGTCAAGGGGGTTTGGAAGTGGCCGACTGCACAGCTCGTGATTGTCTTCAGGTGGCCGTTCGTTAGAGCAAGTTCGACTGTAAATGTGCATTATATTTTGTGTATTTATTTGGGTTGGTTTTTTTACTTAGGCACCCGTCTCATGTTCACGTTTTATATCTTTTCCAGAAGTATTTTGCAAGCTAATCACGAATGTGGTCTTTATTTTGACCGCAAATATATAGTTATTGAGTTATTGATGTTTGAAAATAGTACATTTAACAATATTGGAGGGGGGGGGGGGGTTCAGAGGAACATGCCCCCCCAGACCTATAAAGAATCTGGGGGGTTTCAGGGGGGCACCCCCCCCCCCTGCATATCACAATGATCTGATGTTTTGGCAATTAGGATTGATATTTACTTGAAAGAAAACAGTTGCTTTTCAAGGGTGTTGGGGGCCTTACGTGTGTTTTACTGCAAAGTATGTCAGTTTAGCCCTCAAATCAATGAATCTAGATCTATGTTTGGGTGCATCAGTACAAATTGACCATTTATTTTGCCTTCTGTAGCTGGGATAACGAAAGAACAGTCTGGCGGCAGTTATCAAATAACGCCTTGCTGTAGGTCAGCTTTTATCTTATTTTTATTTTCTGGCAGTCTCCCAAACAAAGAGATCACATGACAGATGGCGTGAGGAGAGGGCGCATGCACGATCTCAGCCCCCACCGACAGCAGAAATGTTTATGGTCTGGTGCACTCGCAGTGGGTGCACGGTTCAGCCCTATTGACATGCAGTCGCTGGGCGCACAAACTTAGATTACAGAAGTACAAAACCATGTTGATCAATTTCTTTCATTACTAGATTCTAGAGTCAAACAAAAATCTGTACAAGAATAACTTTCGTGTTGTTTTCATTGTTTGTTACAGTTTTTGTTAAGCTGTTGTTGTTGTTTGTTTGTTTGTTTGTTCGTTTCTTTGTTTGTCTGCTTGCTTGTTCGTTTGTATTTTTTAACTACAACATCATTCAAATGCACACATGCAAAATGGTCGCTTTTAAGCACAATGGGGGGCTATCCCGAAAAAAACTGTTTTGAGAAAATCGAAGGTAAAGTTTTAGGTCCCTTATTCAGTTTCTTTAAAAGACAAGGCGAGTTTTCTCTACAACCAAACAAATATATATATACACACCAATGAAACCAAACTTTTGGTGTAGGCCAAGAATTTCGGAAACCCTCAAAATCAGGGTAAGCAGCCCGCTTGTCCTTAAAAGCGACCAAATATGAGGGTTACCAGTCAGTAAAGCAAATATATGGCATATGGAGCAACTGCAAGCGCCCAGGTATCTGTCAGGGTTTAACCTCCCCCCCCCCCCCACCCCCAACAAAAAACGCTCTCCAGAATATTAATCAATATTTAACAATATCATTGTATGTTCAACATTCCAAAGGAAACCTCTAGGAGTTGAGGGTTCAGAGAATGGTAAATTGAGAAAGATACAGCTGCAACAGAAGAACTCAAGAAGGCATGACGAATACAAAATGGTAATAACTTAATGGTGTATAAGTACTTTAACAGAAATATAATTATCTTTATATAGCACCATGCCATTGAATCTCTAGAAACAGTGAACGAATAAAGATAAAAGCCTATACAATGTATTTACACACACATTGCAACTCCTAAAATAATATAAGAATGTTAGAGAGGTCTAGTCTGCACTAGTATATACATTATAAACGCATTACAGCATGACAAAGACAAGGAGGTAGAAGGATGAATCCTTGTGAAAAGCGAACACCTACCTACCTACTTCCTTCTCTGCAGTTGTATTTTCAGCCTCGGATCACGCGAATGTGTGCCACCAATTTTGTTCTCTGGAAAGACTGGCGCTGGGCAACTTGTGCAGCGCTTTATAGTGTAGAGGCAAGTCTGCACAAAGAGGGGGGGGGGAAACTGGTGACCTGGATGGATATATGTGCCTACAGAAAGGCTGCAGAAAGAGTCAAGAGCCCAGAGGAGGGGGCAAAGGAGGTGAGGGGGTGGGGGCGGAAAGTGGAGACGAAAGCATATGACAGAACATTGCTAGAGAGCAGGAAATGAGGTGTAAGGAGATAATTTTAGAAAAGAAAGTTTTTCGGTCGCTGCCCGTATTCGAACCCGGGACCTTTGAATGAGAGGCGAACACCTTAACCTCTAGGCCACAAGAGTTCCCTTCAAAACGAGAGGACCTATGACAAACAGCAGCCTCCACACAAGAGACTGGGGTGTCCAGTGAAAGATGAACGAGAGAAAAGAAGAAGAATGTCCTGACTTGTCTCACTCACGGAAGAGAGAAGCACAAGAGACTGGGACGTTCAGTGAAAGATGAACGGGAGAAAAAAAGAAGAATGTCCTGACTCCTCTCACTCGGGAAAAAGTGGAGCACAAGACTGAAAGTGAAGGCCTTTGATCTACAATACCTCTTCATGTTGTAATAGTAATACTAGTAATAGTAATGGTAATGGTTATTGTAATAGTAATAGTAGCCTTATAGTAATATAATAAAAATAATAAAAATAATAATAATAATAATAATAATAATAATAATAACAACAATAATAATAATA